TGGGTTGATGGGTGCAGCAAACCACCATGGCATGTGTGTACCTATGTAACAAACCTGCACATTCTGCACATGTATCCCAGAACTTAAAGTATATATATAAAGATTAAAAAAAATTGTCAGCCTTTGGAAGGTTGAAAGTTCACAGGCTGTGAATTGCCACTCTTAGTTTGCTAATTTTTAGACCCCATGGAAACTCTCTCTGTTGAAAGCTCTCCCTACCTCCTCTCCCTCTTTGCCTACCTGTCTTGTCTTTGCTCCTTGTCATTCTGTCTCAGTCCTCCTTAATACCCCCTTCTCTTTTCCTCATATACCGTACATATATTTTCTCTATTCTTTGTGTGTGTGTTTGTTGTTTTTCTATCTCTTCTTCTACATTTTCTTCCTTTCTCCTTTTTTTTTTCTTATCCTTACCAGGCCCGTCCTCATTTCAATAATGTGACATAAAATATTTTTAAAGTATTTTTAATTTATTAAATAAAGTTGCTGGAATTTTTTTCACAGCAAATTACTCACAAAAATAAATCTGGTTTTGATCAAACATTTAAAATTTGTTAATCTCAATCAAACATTTAAAATCTATCTCTTGCTTACCCTTAAAAAAATGATTGAAGTTGACTTTTTGGAGGTGGCTGATGAATGGCACATAGCAGAAAAAAAATGGCACATAGCACCTCTTCCCTGCTCCAGAAGAAGATGACATTCCTTTCCCATTATGGTATTTCCTTAGCCATTGATGTGGCTAGCCATTTGCTAGCATGTGGACACATAGGGTGATGAGAGAAGAATCTCTATCCAGTTCTAGTTAAACATAGAGATGTTCTAGTAACCAGATGGTTTTTGCTTGGCAGTTTAACAAGCAAAGTGTTTATTGGCTTTGGAAACCCATTCATAGCATTGTGTTTTAGGTATTCATGGTTCTGTTTTTTTTTTTTTTTTCTTCCAGAGTGTGACCATGGTTTATGTTCCCATCAATTTTATTGTGTGGCAATTATACGTTAATTCTTTGCTCAGCCTACTGACAGAATCTCCTTACCTAATTATGCATTTCATTGTAGACTTCTATGTAAAATAACTGTGTAGTATATTTAATTAGTCATGAATTTAATTTAAATGAAATGTTTGGTATGTTGACCACATGATTAGCATTTTGTAGCATCTATAGAAGTTGCCTTACATCTTACACATTTTATAATGTCCTGTATCTTTGTAAGGACCAATAAACTCAGACATTGGGTATGATTCTAAGGTCTGTTCTCAACTTTTAAATTTCCTTATGCATTGAGAAACATTTATGCAATCTTTTTCATCATGACAGAGCACATTAGAAGAATGGGTGTACCCAGTCATCTACCAAAGGATTTGAAATTCAACTTTGATAGAATTCTCTTATGACAGTTGATTCACAGACCAAAATCATTAGAAATACTGTCCAGCCAAAACCTGAAATGTAAAACCAATAAATCAATAGTCAGGTGAAGAGCTCTTATTTAAATGTATCTGGAAACCAATATAAATGGAAAAATTAAAATAGCTTTATCAGAAATATTAATGAGTACAGTACCCTTACAATTCAGTCAGATGAGTTAAAAATAATATTCACTGAACCAGAGTATCAATTTCTAACGGAAGCCTTGGGAAAACTGTTAGCCTCATAACTTATGCACAACACCATCTGATTTAATTCACCCAGACACCTGAGACTCAGTTCATGGACAATGATGCTTAGGTTCTAAGCCACTGATCCTCCTGTCATTTAGAGAACGTGTTGGTGAATTTGGACTTAAAGATTAGAAAGAAAGCTGCTCATGTGCTGTGGATTGTGAATTAGTTAGTAAGGCCCACGGATCCACTCCATATTTGGACAATACAGGCTGGTCCATTTTGTGATGGCACTGGCCACACTCTTTCATTCCAGGTCTGAGAAGAGCACATTTCATCACTTTAGGATGCTTTCACTTACAGAGAACCAGTCATATGATTTGGTTCTGTGTCCCCACGCAAATTGAATTGTAACCCCCAATGTTGGAGGTGGGGCCTGGAGAGACATGATTCGATCATGGGGGCGGATTTCCCCTTCAGTGCTGCTCTAGTGATAGTGAGTGAGTACTCAAGAGATCTGGTTGTTTAAAAGTGTATGGAACCACCCCTCCCTCTCTTCCTCCTGTTCTGGCCATGTGACATGCTTGCTCCCTCTTTGCCTTCCACCATGATTGTAAGTTTCCTGGGGCCTCCCCAGAAGCTGATCGGATGCCAGCACCATGCTTCCTGTACAGCCTCTGGAACTGTGGAGCTAATGAAACCTCTTTCCTTTATCAATTACCCAGTCTCAGGTATTTCTTTATAGCAGTGTAAGAATGGACTAATACAACCAGTTTGGGGTTCTTCAAACCAAGTTATAAATTCTTTTAACATTTTCAGTTTCCAAGACTACAGGTAGAAAAAAAGGACGGAGCAGAGAGCAGGGCAGGAGATGATACAGAAATGAGAGCAGGGGAGAGGGGTGTCAGTGCTGAAGGGATTTTATTCTTTACCCAGTCCTTTCATCACAGTGAAATGTGAAATTAGCATGTGTTCAAGACTTATGTAAAATTACACAGAGGTTTGGGGTCAGGAATGAAAGGAAATCAATGTAAATAACTTTTAAAAGTTATATTTTCTTGGTATGGGTGGATATTTTGGAATAAAGGTTCACTGACTATGCTACAGAGGAACACCTTTATTTAATAGTCTCATGATTTGGGGAGGAGGAAGATGCACAGTTAAATGTGGGCAACATTAATGGTTAATTTTTGCCAGCCAAATTTAAAAAGGTGTTCATGGAGAAGTGTTTGTAAGCCTCCACTGTAACTTTCCATATGAAATCCATCACCAGGAGAAATTTCCATTTTTCAAAGGAAAAAATATGCCTTGATGGTTTATTTCATACTCATATGGTCTTTAATAATTAGACTTCAATATAGAAAATTGCATTTCTCATTTGAAGAAGGCTTTATTCTAATAAATTCCACTTTTCTTTTTTTATTTTTATTTTTTTTTATTTTGAGACCTGGTCTCGCTCTGTTGTCCAGGCTAGAGTGCAGTGGCATGATCTTGGCTCACTGCAACCTCTACATCCTGGGTTCAAGTGATTCTCCTGCCTCAGCTTCCGAATAGCCATAATAGGGATTACAGGCATGCGCCACCATGCTCAGCTAATTTTTGTATTTTTAGTAGAGACAGGGTTTCACCATATTAGCCAAGCTGATCTTGAACTCCTGACCTCAAGTGATCTGCCTGCCTCGGCCTCCCAAAGTGCTGGGATTACAGGCATGAGTCACCATGCTCAGCCCCCTTTCCTCTTAAAAAATGCTACAGCAACCAAAACAGCATGGTACTGGTACCAAAACAGAGACACAGACCAATGGAACAGAACAGAGCCCTCAGAAATAATACCACCAGCCTTTGGAAGGGTTGAAAGTTCAAGGCTGTGAAATTGCTCACTCTTTAGTTTTGCTAATTTTTTAGACCCCAATGGAAAACTCTCTCTGTTGAAAGTCTCCCTTACTCCTCGTCCCTCTTTGACCTTAACTGTCTTGCTTTGTCCTTGTCATTCTGTCTCAGTCCTTCCTTAATACCCCCTCTCTTTTCCTCATATACCGTACATATATTTTCTCTATTCTTTGTGTGTGTGTTTGTGGATTTCTCTATCTCTTCTTCGTTACATTTTCTTCCTTTCTCCTTTTTTTTTTCTTATCCTTACCAGCCGCGCCGCGCTTCATTTCAATAATGTGAATAAAAATATTTTTAAAGTATTTTTAATTTATTACAATACAAGTTGCTGGAATTTTTTCACAGCAAAGATTAACTCACAAAATATAAATCTCGGTTTGGATCAAACATTTTAAAAATTGTTAATCTCAATCAAACATTCTAAAATCTAATCTCTTGACTTACCCCTTAAAAAAATGATTGAAGTTGACTGTTTTTTGGAGGTGGCTGATGAAGTGGCACATAGCAGAAAAAAAATTGGCACCATAGCACCTCTTCCCTGGCCTCCAGAAGAAGATGGACATTCCTTTTCCCATTTATGGTATTCCTTAGCCATTGATGTGGCTAAGCCATTTTGCTTAGCATGTACACATAGGGTGATGAGAGGAACGAATTCTCCTATCCAGTTCTAGTAAACTAGAGATGTTCTAGTACCAGATGTGTTTTTGCTTGGGCAGTTTACAAGCACAAGTGTTATTGGCTTTGGAAACCCATTCATAGCATTGTGTTTTAGGTTATTCAATGGTGTTCTGTTTTTTTTTTTTTTTTTTTCCCAGTAGTGTGGAAGGTGATGGGTGCAGCACACCAACATGGCACATGTATACATATGTGACAAACCTGCACGTTGTGCACATGTACCCTAGAACTTAAAGTATAATAAAAAAATAAAATAAAATTGTAACACAAACCTGAACAAGTAATGAAAAAAAATGCTTTGTGTATCCTGCTTATTTAGCTTAAGAGCACTATAACGCTATGTTCAAAACCTAAATCATCACAAGCTATTTATACTGCAAGTACTCCATTTTTTAATAGCTCTGTCTGAAATTTCTGAAGTACACCTGAAGGGTTTAACAATGATTTATCATTCTTTCCTCTCTTTAGATCATCCAGCCCATGGAATAGATGCCCAGAAAAAACTTCAGCTGACTTTGACTAAACCTTATAAAAGTTGGTTTGAAATTACTGTGGGTCCTAATCCCCAGCGCAGTGTTACAAATAAAATCTATTTTTGTTCTTCAGCTCCACACTGTGGGTAACAGTTTCAGCACAGAATTTGACCTCAAGCAACACGAACTCCGAATAATGCATAAAGTAACATCAACACGAGGCAGTGTGTGTGAAACAGATCTCGGTCCCGTAACAGCGAAAGAGAAGGACAAATCAGATCATCACACGGGATGTCTCTTTTGTGCGATTTCGCATTTTCCCATTCAAAACAAAAACTAAATAATAAATTTGAAGCTACTCACTCATGGATTCTGTCAGCTTGGCCATTGTTGCAGTTTCTTCTTTGTGCTCTTCCTGGAGGTGAGAAGAAAAGACAATGATCTATAAAACATGTCTTAGATATGAATTGATCTAATTGCCATTTACAGCTGTATCTCTGTTCCTTCTTTCTCCTAGGTCAGAATTTGGTTTTCGATAATTAAATGAATAAAAACCCCACATTATAGTTATATTATCAGTCAGTCACTGAAAAGAGATTTTTAGGGCATTAAAAAGCTTCCCATTGCTCTTGGAAATGAGCGTCTGTCACACTGATCTTGGATATATATAATTGGTGACGCACGACCAGTTTTCAAAACCTCTTTGACACTGGATTTTTGACATCCATATGCCAATTTTTTTTTCCTCTCTGTTTTCCCCTATTGAAGCTTTCTTGGTATTTTTGGAGTTGATATTTTTGTAGTCATTTGGTTTCTTCTTTCCAAAAAACTAAATAGATTTTATACATATTTCTTTGTCTTACTTTTTGGGTTCCTGGAGCCTTTTAAAAGTCGTAAGCTTTGATGGGTTTATAACCTTATCTACTTTGTGCTGAAAACATTTTGTTTTAACCGAGATATAGGTTATAACCCACTGAGTTTGAAAGCCAGAATAATACATACAGAAATTCAATCTGTCCTAATTAAAACATGACCTTGGAGCTATTAAGAATACTGGTCATCTCTACTGAAAAGTTCTCTTTAATTTCTCCACAGTTCTCTGGCTTTCTTTAATTTCTTTGTGTTCCTAACATATGTAGTAACTGAAACATTGTCCACTGTTATTATGCTTTTTTTGCAGCTTTGTTTTTCTGTGAAACTAAAATGTTCATTATTTTAAAACTTCAGAAAAAAACTGAAAATTATAAATCTAATGCCACCCCCAGAGGAAATCATGGTTACATTTTGGTGACTGCTTTCTAGGCCTATTTCTTTACCTGTGCATATTTACAGATATGGGAATATGATCCTATTCTCATAGAGATAAGTATCTGTACTATACACATTTTGTGTTGAAGCAATGTTTTCATTTAACATCATATCACGCATCTTTCTATGCCAATAAAGGTAGAATACGTCGTCATTTTTTAATGACTGCATAGCTCATCATGGATTATATCATCATTTCCTTTACCAGATCCCATTTAATTTACTTAGAATTTTTCACTTCATAAAACACTGGGATGAGCATCTTGGACCTTATATGGTTGTGCACTTGTTCTGTGCAAGTTATTTTCTGAGGATAAATCCTAAGGTGAGGTATGGCTTGGTCAAAAAGTCTAAATATTAAAAATTCTGACATACAGTGGTCAATTGTCCCCTACAAAGGTTGTACCTGACAGTGTATAAAAGTGTTCAGTTCCTTATTAGCACTTTTGCCCCCTAATCTTTGCTAAATCAACAGGCAGACAACATGATCTTGTTATTTTGCACTGTTGTCTTTCTCTGACCTTTTGTTTATGGACAACTGTAGTGTTCTTCCCCATGTCATCGTTATGAAGTTAACTCATGGTTTCACATTGTTGTGTTCCAGCCCCTCTGCCATCAACATTTTAGTGCTTAGAAGCCCAGGGTGGTATTTGCTTTTCCCCATGGCCCTGATACAATGCTGAGTACAGTCTAGCAGTTTGGCTAACACTCGAATTGATGTGTCATGGCTTGGGTGTTGTAGTACGGATAGCAAGATCATTATTCGTCCTCCCTATGACACTATTCCCAAACTAGAAGGGTATGCTTTGATTCAATGGCAACAAACAACTTCGCACATGGCAAGTATTCTTGATTTCCACAGCCCTGTATTCATGACAACGAAATCAGCACACCACCTCTTACTTAAACTAATAATTGCCCTTGAGAACAGAAGGAGCTACGGAGTTGTAATCTACTAACCTGCTTGCTGTGGCATTTTGCCCATGATATTTAGCCTACCACTTGGGTTATGTCAACATGCAGAGAAACAGCATGGCGTGCGCCAGTAGAGAGGCTAAGTGTCACGTCACGGAGCTGAATAAGACAGGCAGAGAGGAGCCTCTCACACAACGCTGGTTCATGCGAGTGTGCACAGCGGCTGCTCACCAGCCGACCCCAGTGGGTTGTAACAATTCAGGCAGAAAAGCTGTTCCATGGCAGGGACTCAGTGAAGTTGGTCCCAGAGCTTGTTCTGTCTCTGTGTGTCCTGTCATTGACTCTCAGCTCTCCTCATAGCCCAGTTCTGCTGTGTTGATCTGTCTAGCCGTACTGGCTCTCCTTGTGTCCTGGTCTGTGACTTGACTTCTCCATTTTCTGGCTCTGTGCTCCATCAGGCCTCACTCTGTATCACAGACCTCTTCAGCTTGACCCTCCTCTGATGGCATCAGCGGTAAGAACCCCCCAACCCCAAACCATAGGCGTCCAGATTCCAGGCATTATATTTTTAACAAGCCCTGTTTAGTGTGTCTGTTTTCTTGTGTGTGTGTGTGTGTGTGTGTGTGTGTGTGAGAGAGACCACTTCATCTCTTGTGACCTAAGGACCCTGCCACATTCTGGACCCCGGTCTTGCTGGTGGGTGGTCCTTGCAGCTATTTTTGTTCAGATGTGCTGGATATCTTAGTCCTAGAGATGTCAAATACCACCTGGACCAGCAATTTCCTCTTCCCTGTAGTTAAATGGAATCCTCTGACATTAAGTGGGGAGAGGCTCCTAAAATCCTAAATATAGCTCTCCCAGACTGACTCATCTATATCATAACTTATGGTGGAAATCATGACATATGTTTTGGTGTAAGTAGTTTAGTTATTCTATTGGATGTCTCTAAACTCCTTATGTCCTTCCCTCATTATCAGAAAGTTGATGTTTGCAGTTACACAACATGTATATCCAATAAAGCATTTACATTCATTCTCGGTCCCAAGCAAATTCTCCTTATTCTAAAGCCAAGAGTTTCCTTCACAGCAAATTTCCTGGTTGTTGGATTTACATTACTGGGAAGAGATTTAGAATTATAGCATATTAAAATTGGAAGTGATTCTTTTAGAGATTGTCAAGTCCAACCCCATATTGATGCAGTTGATGAAACTGAAGCCCAGGGAAGAGTGTGATGTGCCAGGAAAGGATTTAGAGGGAGCCGATCCCTTTCCCTTATCCACAACCTCTGCTCTCCCAGAAATCTCAAGGCCCATCAAACCTAAGCCCATTTAGCCAAGATCCCTCACACAACAGTCCCAGTGCGGTGTTGAAGTTTCCTAGATTTGCCATTTCTATGTTCTTTCTTTGAGTATTCTCATTCACAACAATGTCCCTAATTTCCATGAATGGCTGGCAATGCCCAGATTTGCATATCCTGCCCTGACCTCTCCATGGAACCCCTGCTCTCCACTTCTTCCTCCTTCCTCACTCCTTGATATATTTTGCTTTTTTTTTTTTTTTGAGATGGAGTCTCGCTCTGTCGCCAGGCTGGAGTGCAGTGGCAGGATCTCAGCTCACTACAACCTCCGCCTCCCAGGTTCAAGTGATTCTCCTGCCTCAGCCTCCCGAGCAGCTGGGATTACAGGTGCACACCACCACACCCAGCTAATTTTTGTGTTTTTAGTAGAGATGAGGTTTCACCAAGTTGGTCAGGCTGGTCTTGATCTCTTGACCTCGTGATCCGCCCACCTCGGCCTCCCAAAGTGCTGGGATTACAGGCGTGAGCCACCATGCCTGGCCTATTTTGCATACTTTAAAGTTGGTCTTCCCTCACTGCACTCTACTTAGGAGACTATTAACATTGCCTCCACCTGATTGGAACCTCACCTACAACCCGGAAGGTTTATCATGAAATAGCTCCGGGGGATCTATCTAAAACACAAACCTGACGTGGCCTCTCCCTGCTTGATCAGTTCTCCTCCAGCAAGTGAGAATGCAGTCCTTGCTTTCCGCCAGGGCCCCTGGACTGATGGCTCTTTCTTCTCCGCTCATACCTTAGGTCCAGCTCCCTGCAACCCACGACTGTCTTCTACCTCCCTGCCTTGGCAAGCACTATTCCCTCTGCCTAGATACTTCAAGTTCCACTTCATTCTTGTCCTCTGCAAATTCATCCTGAAAAACTCCACTGGGCACCACCCAGTCTCTGCTGGCTCCCCTGCTCTTTCTGACCATTTTCCTGAGTTTTATCTTTAGGTGTGTTTGTGCACAAACGCATCCATGTGTCACACTGCATAATTTGTTATGGCATCGAGGGACTCTGGAAGCTTTGGAAAATTCCAAAGCCCCATCTCAAGAGCCTCATCTGGAGGTCATGGGTGGGAGGCGGTGTGTGGTAGACCAGAAGCCCTGACCACTAAACCTCCCTAGGAACCTGGACAAGTCATTTTACGTTTTGGGCTACTGTTTCCTGGTGTGCTCATTTCAGAAGTGGTCCGCCGCTTGCTGTGTTCTGCCCCGTCCTCCATCCCTTACCCCTGCGGAAGTCAGCAACAGGAAGAGGATACCTGGACATGCTCGGATAGGCTGTGACTATTGGTGGTATTTTAAAGTGAAAAAAGACAGATATGTTTGCTTCAAGAACTTGCGTTAAAAACATCTTTCCCTGGGGGAGCCGAGGGTTTTTATATCCAAGGTAATCATCTCATGTTTCAAAATGAAAAGAAAATCAGAAATGCAGGAATCATACTTGTTGGGAGAAAAGCATTTACTTTGGCCTGAAACTTTTTTGTTCTTGTTTATTGTGTCTGTCCCACTTGGATGTTCTTAGAGAGAGTGGCGGGGACAGGGAGAAAGAGAGCATGTGTATAAGAGTTTGGAAGCCTGGGTCTAGAACGGTTTTTGTCATGGCTTTACTACTTCTTATCTACTCATTAATTAATCTTGGAAGCTCTAATTTTCTCATCTTTAAAGTGGGGATAGGTGGAAATTGCACTGCCTGGTTCACAAGACTGTTTGAGGAACAAATGAGACGAGGCATATAAATACACTCAAGTGTAATGTCCATGTGTAGGTTTGTAATCATTATTCCATTTGGCTACCGTGTGGGGGGGCCCAGAGTCAGAACCTGTTCTTGCTCTTTGAGGACAAATATTG